GACCCCCCGGCTGTCCCCTCCTGTCAGGGACTTGTGCAGAGCCAGAAATTCCCCCAGAGCCTCCTTTTCTCCAGGCTGAGCCCCTTTCCCATCTCCCTCAGCCTCTCCTGCTGCTCCAGCCCCTTCCCCAGCTCTGTTCCCTGCCCTGGACACGCTCCAGCCCCTCAGGGTCTCTCTTGTCAGGAGGGTCCCAGAGCTGTCCCCAGCACTGGAGGTGTCCCAGCAGTGCCAGCACAGGGGACAGGCACTGCCCTGCTCCTGCTGCCACCCCAGAGCTGGCACAGCCCAGGTGCCATTATTGCCTTCTTGCCCACCTGGGCACACCTGCCTCGTGTCACCAGCACCCCCAGGACCTTTCCCAGCCCCTCTGCCCCAGCCTGGAGCTGCAGGGGACTGTTGTCACCAAGTCATCAGTGCCATCATTCCCCAGCACACCCTGTGCCCAGCCATCACCAGCTCTTAACCCAGCCCAGAGGGAACCTGCCCAGACTTGGGCTGCTGGATTTTCCAGGAATTAGCCATGGGAGATGCTGTCAAAGGCTCTGCTGAAGTCCAGGTAGACACATCCACAAGTTCATCCTAAGTTCATGCCATTAATGCTTTTATCTTGCTGCCACTGTCATCAAGAAATGGATTAGGATTAGTTTCGAGAGATTCTCCCGCTGTGAGGTGCCTGAATTTTATCGGAGTGGCAAAGTCAAATTTTCTGCGGTTACAGTAACATGAGAAGAGTTCACAACTGCTCACACAAAACCTCCTCACCCGTAGCCAAATGCAGCTTTCTCCAAGAGGGATGAACATACAAAGGGTATCTCTGTAGCACAGAAAAGTGATTACAAACCAAAGAATGGCTCAGCTTATCAGATCAGCTTTGCTTGTCTCCACAAGAGCCACCACCATCAATCAGGAATCAAGTCGTTGCCATTCACAGCAGAGTGAAGCAGAGATAATTTGACACATAAAGCTCTGAATTAGATGTAATTTGAAGAGGAGTAAGCAGGTGTTATTTTTTTTTATTGACTATTGTATTGCTTTAATAAAAACAATCTCATTTTAAAAGAGCTATTTAACTTCTCCCAGCCAAAAAAAAAAATCACATGAAAAACCATCTCCCAGGAAAAGCTAGTTCTGAATTCACACAGCACGTCAGATAAAAACACAGATGAAGGTTGTCAATTCCCACCACCAGGCATTCCTTCATGGAATTAACAACTCAGAACTGCAGATCCCAGAGGTCTGTAAACAGCCCATCCTCCAGCTTTGACAAATACAATCCTGACAACTTCACCTCCTTGCAGGTTGCTACTTCAAAGCTCATTGCTTTGGGAACACTTTTGGAAAGTCCAGCTTTTCAGTCTCTTTTCCCTAATCCCAAATGTAAATGTCTTATTTTTGCACCTGAGGGTTTTGCTGTTCCCACATCATGTCACAGGAAGCTGATGGAAGTGTCTGCTAAAGTGCAGCGCTGCAGGGATTGTTGCATCGTCTGCTGGCCGGTGCTAATTCATTGTGTGCCTTATTCCAAGGAGCCATCCAGCCAAAACCTCTGCTCTAGAGCCAGGCTGGAAGAGCTGGGGGTGCTCACCTGGAGAAGAGAAGGATCCAGGGAGAGCTCAGACTAAAGGGGCTCCAGGAGAGCTGGAGAGGGACTGGGGACAAGGGATGGAGGGACAGGACACAGGGAATGGCTTCCCACTGCCAGAGGGCAGGGATGGATGGGATATTGGGAAGGAATTGTTCCTTGTGAGGGAGGTGAGGCCCTGGCACAGGGTACCCAGAGAAGCTGTGGCTGTCCCTGGATCCCTGGAAGCGTCCAAGGCCAGGCTGGACAGGGCTTGGATCAACCTGGAATAGTGGAAGTTGTCCCTGCCCATGGCAGGGGGTGGCACTGGATGAGCTTTAAGGTCCCTTCCCACCCAAACCATTCTGTGATTCCATGAAGGGGAGGCACTCAGTGTATTCTTGGAGCCTTAAAACCCAGTGCTAGTGCTTGACAAAACAACTACAAGGTCTGATTCTGAAAAAAAAAAATGAATACAAACTTCTTCCCACCCTGATTTCACTCTCTGGATTACAATTGCCTTGATAATTCATTTGAAAACCAAACCCAGCTGAGCAACTGTCTTGAAAATTGAGTAACCTCAGGTTCACTTGTATTTAAAAACATCAGCTTCAGGCAAAACTGCTCATTCACAGTGATTTCACCAAGGCCTGGCCCTCATTTGGTGTTTTTTTCTGATTACTCTTCCACCGTGTCACCGTTTAGCAGCAGCACTATTGTATTACAGCCTCTGTCACCAGCAGCTGACTCTGACTCCTGCCACTCCTCAGCTCTCAAAGCAGCTACAGGAACCAGCAGCAAGTTCCACAACTTAAAATAGATGTGACCTTGTGGGGTACCTGGGCTCGAGGCACACCGAGGGTCTCACACACAGCCTGGTAATAAATCTGATTATTGTCATTTAAAATTGAATCCCAGCATCACTGAGGTTGGAAAAGCACTATGAGATCGTCGAATCCAAGCATCCCCCAGCACTGCCAAGGCCACCACTGATCCATGTCCCCAGCTGCCACATCCACAGGGCTTTTAAATCCCTCCAGGAATGGTGAATCCGCCTGGGATTTCCACCTGGGAAACCCATTCCAATGCTTGACCATCCTTTCTGTGAAGAATTTTTCCCTAATATTCAATCTACACCACAACTTGGCACAGCTTGAGGCCATTCCCTCTCATCCTGTCCCTGTTCACTGTTCCCCCCTGGCTGTCCCCTCCTGTCAGGGAGTTGTGCAGAGCCAGAAGGGCCCCCTGAGCCTCCTTTTCTCCAGGCTGAGCCCCTTTCCCAGCTCCCTCAGCCTCTCCTGGTGCTCCAGCCCGTTCCCAGCTCCGTTCCCTTCCCTGGGCACCAGGAGCCACTTGGGAAAAAACCCAAACCTCATCTAGCAAACCCATCATTTTCTGGTTGAAAGCCATTTTTAGGGCTCTTTCAGGCCCTCAGCTCAAAGCACATCTAAGAGCACAGGCACAATTATTCATTGAACAAAAAGATAAATGACATTTTTGATTTTATTTTTCTTCCTTTGCAGGGCCAAAAAAACGCTGGAGTCACCCGTGCCCACTGCAGTTATTGTCGTGTTTGTTAGTCCTTCCTCCCTGGCTGCAGGCACCACTGCTTATCAAGGAAAAATTGTGCCATTCCCACATTTTTATCCATGATTATCTGGCACGTGTCACTGCCAGAAAAGCTTGATATTTATTTTAAATTGCTGCAATAATAAGGAAAGTGGCTGTATTACATTTACATTAAAATAATGGAACGCACAGCATTTAATATGAAAAGGGATTCCTGAACAAATTGTTTGCTCAGTGTGTTTCCCACACAGCCATTCCACTGCTCCTGCAATACCCCAGTAGATAATATTGGAGATATTGTTGTTAATAATACATGGGAAACACACATCCCTAAGGAATTTCAGTGCATATTTCCTGGGTTTCCTTAGCTGGCAACACCGTCCCTTCCTTCCCCACTTCAGTGCAAAAACAAACTCTACATGTGCTCACTTACAGTTGTGCCTAATTATATAAATGTACTAATTACACACACTTTTCAAAGTAGGTAAATTTTAAATGGTGCCATTAAGGAAATCTATTTGATGATGGAAATTTCTGTAATATCATATTGCAATCTCACACATGGCAATTTTGCTCTCATGTCAGTATTTATTTAATGACAAATAACAGCAGAGGATAATAGAGTTGAGAAAGCAAATTAAAGCTGTAAGATTTGCAGGGTGATGTTGGTCAGCAGATGCTAAATGAAAGAAATAAAAGGAATTCAGAAAAGCAGTGGATCTAAGGTAAATAATGAGTAAAAAGTAAGTTTTGAATGATAAATATTTTCCAAATCCACCAGATAAAACCCTGCAAGACTGATTTAGCCCCACCAGAAAAAAACATAAGTCATTGAGCACTTCATCTACACACAGTTATCAGATCTGGAAATCACTTACCTGCTGTTCTGAGCACCTCTTTGCACTCAAAATAATTCCAATTGCAAGTAGGAACCAGCCCTAGGAGCTCACCCAGTCATACCCACACTGGTAAAAAAAAACTGCTGCCTTTTGGGATCTTCTGGCTGATGTAAAAAGATTTTTTTACTTTTAACATCAAATAAACACCAAAACTCCTGGTTCTTTAACATAACACCAGTGAGAAGACTTTAAATATAATGAACGCTGGTTTTCTTTTAGGACTACTTAAGTTTACTGCACTGATGTCCCAGGTGAGTGGGTTTTTTTCCATGTAAATTTTAATAATTTAATATTTTTCTGCTGCAGAATCTGTATTTTGCATCGACAAGAGCACTGGGCTGCACCACAGTGCAACAACACTGCAGGGTGCTAATCCCTCTGCCTTTACTTAAATAGTAACGTGGCAGGGAAGGCACAGAATCCATCTTCCCCAGAAAACAGGGAAAAATCCTGTGAAAGGAAGGTCAATGCTCTCTCACACAAATCCTTGTGTCACAAAAAATACTCTCATTAAGTCACAGGCTGTCACATCTCATCCAGGATAATTATGGAAAGGCTTGATAGAAGCATCTCACAAGCATCAGGTGGGTGATCCTGAGTTATCCAGCTCAATTATTGATCAGCAATGTTCAGGAACTCCTGGATCTGGGATTTTGGGTACACCCTTCAGGGTTTGGGGTCCAGAGAAGCTTAAAGACCACAGATTTGTATTCTGGTGAACCCACACTAAATAAAACCTGTAGAAGAGACTCAAAATATCTCTGCATAAGGAGCTATTTTTCTTTCTGCACGGTTATAAAATGGCTCACACAAAAAAAAATCCTAAAAATTGGCATTTAAAGCAACTCTGATGCAAGTTGGGCATTGGACTGAGGAGAGTACACAGCACAAGGAGTGATTTTGTGTTAATTGGTGACTTCTTTGACCCTGTGCTCGCAGGTGAAGCAATTCCACCCCCTGCCCAGTGTTACCTTCTGGTATTCCTCCTTGGATCTCAGGGCAGCTTCCATCTGCTCCTGGGAGAAGGTGTAGATGGCCGAGCGATACTGAGTGCCGACGTCGTTCCCCTGCCGCATCCCTGGGGGGACAGAACACAAGGGGATCAGCTTCCCTCCCTCCCTGGGTGCTGGGAGGACCCCAAAACACCCACATTTCACAGAATTCCAGGATGGGTTGGGGTGGAAGGGACCTTTAAGCTCATCTCATTCCATGGGACAATTGCCATGCGACACCTCCCGCTAAATTCAGGATGTTACAGCTGGATTAGCACAGTTCCTTCCATGCACAATCAGCAGGGAGTGTTAGGAAGTCCAAGTCTTTGGTTAAAGAGTCCTGAAGATATTCAATGCTGATATTTCCCTTTAAATTTCCTTTTAAATTTCCTTTTAAACAAAAATGGGCATTTTACGGTTTTGTTCCATCACACAACAGTAAAACAGAGATGCCAAACCTTAAATAATTAATCTGCAGTAACTGTAATCAAGGCACTCTTAAAAAAAAACAACAAAACTGATTTTGAACCATGCAAATGGTTACCAAAAAAAAAAGTTGATTTTATCAAGTGCTTATAATTTATTTTTTTTTGTGCTGTGGGAGTACAACTTAATGGGAGAAAGGTAAAAAATACTTCTGGAGAAAAATAGTTATTTTTGGGACAGGCTGCCCAGAGAGCTTGTGGACTCCCCACCCCTGGAGGTGTCCAAGGCCAGGCTGGATGGGCAATTTTGGCACCAGGATTTTGTGATATTTCTGCTGGTATGTGTAACCCCTTCAAAAGACTTGATGTATGAAGTTGTGCAGTTTCTTAAGCAGAGTCCTCCCAAAAAGCTGCAATTCAAGACAAATTGGAAATCATCAGGACTGGTGTCGTGATTGCCACCAGGCTGCAAAAGCCCCTCTGATGGTTCCCATCAACTCTCAGGAGTGTGGAGACGAAATGGAAAAAGGAAATGATGTCCTGATACCCCCCTGGAAAAGGGAGTGGAGAAAGTATTTTCCTCCAGTATTACTGGAGGGAAAAGATGCCCTCAACTCACTACTCCTCATTAAATCATGGATTTATCCCTCTTGGACCCCCACAAGGCAACAAAAAAAAAAAAATTAAAAGGAAAATACTATAAACAAACAAAAACTGCCTGAAATATTTATGAACAACAAGACACAAAAATATTTTAAAATATGTATTAGGATAACTGCACTCAATGACCAACAGCTACATGAAAGAATCTGACTCCAGAACATCTGATGGAGTTTTCTGATGATGTGGGTAATTTTTCTGGCTGTTAAAATGCATTATTGCAATTAAATACAACAGCAAGCTTCTTCATCAATACTTAAGAGTGTCAGGTGCCACCAAGGGATGTTTTGTTCAGTCCTTTGGAAGTTCTTCCAGGGTGGCAGGGAGCTCTGGGAAAGCCAGTTTGGGATAAAATGAGGACAGACCAGGAAAGCTTTAGTTTGGTCAAGATATGTTAATACTGATTGATGTTTGAGCTTAAGCATTAACATTCTACAAATCTATTTATTGCTTAACAATCTGTTTAACACCCAGATAGGGAGGAGATTACAAAAATCTCTCTAAATGGAGGGGCACTACAGAGGGTGTTGGTTTCCAGCATGAATTTAGGAGTTTAAGTTTGGTGTGAGCTCATGTGCACAGTGCTCTGAGTGAAAAAAATCAGATTATTTAATATCTGCATGTGCCAACATGACACAGAATCAGGGAGCCAGTCAGATTAATTAATTTATTGAAGAGAAGGTTAAGAGGAGAAATTACTCTAAATTAAAAATATATTTCTAGAGAAAAGCAAAACAAAAAGAAAACCACCAGAGAAATGAGGCTCTTCAGTCTTGCCAAAGTTATTTAACTTGGAAGGACAATTGAAAGGCAAAGTATCCAAAATCCAGGTGGGAAATAAGACAACAACCAAGCAACAAGGAGCATTTATCTCTTGAACAATAACCTAAAGCCACATTCCATTCCTGAGGGCTTCCCTTTAAGGAAATACATTTTCATAGAATCATAGAAACATGAAACAGTTTGTGTTGGAAGGGACCCTAAAGATCACCCAGTCCCACCCCTGCCATGGGCAGGGACACCTTCCACCATCCCAGGCTGCTCCAAGCCCTGTCCAGCCTGGCCTTGGACACTTCCAGGGGGGATCCAGGGGCAGCCACAGCTTCTCTGGGCACCCTGTTCCTTTTTTCAGACAGAAGCAATTTCAAAACAAAACAACTTCTGCTTGAATCTTTGAAACTCCACAGCACCTCTGTGATTAAACTCTTAACTCAGAGAAGGAACAATTCCTCCAGAACGTCAGCTGAACAACTTCAGAGCAACTGGATTTTTTTGGGAAAGGCTGGTTGTGTCTCTAACTCTTCTGTGAGATGTCTCAAAGCCATTCTCTGTGCAAAATCAGACAGTTTATGGATAGTTTTTTAGCATAGCTCCAGGAGATCAATTTTTTCCTCAAGGATAATAGGGAAATCTGTCAGTAGGACCTGAACTTCGCTTTTATTCAGGGCTGCGATGATAAAGACGTTACTTTTTGAAGCTGGTAGGAAAATATATTAACCCTGAGGAATCAGAGAATGACTGAGAGTGGAAAAGTCCTCTGAGATCATCAAATCCAACCATCCCCCAGCAGTGCCAAGGCCACCACTGACCCCTGTCCCCAAGTGCCACATCCACAGGGCTTTCAAATCCCCCCAGGGATGGGGACTCCAGCACTGCCCTCGGCAGCTGTGCCAGGGCTGGACAACACTTTCCATGTAGGAACTGTTGCTAAAATCCTTATTCTGGTTCCATTCTACAAAGAATGTTTAAAAATGAAGAAGTGGGCTCTGTATTTTAGTCAACTCCCCTTTAGCTGAAGTTCAGAATCCTGACTCAGAATCCTGGTGTTTGTACCTGAGGGGATGGAGGAGTGAAGAAGCCCCAGACAATGTGGCAGGATGCTAATTCAGGCTTCCTAATGAATTCAGAGCCAGAACAAATCAAAGAAGAGCTGCATTTAAAATATTTATTAAAAAAAAAAAAAATAAAATAAAATAAATGGGTTGGGGAATCCACCACTGCCCTGGGCAGCCGTGCCAGGGATGGACAGCCCTTCCCATGAAGGAATTGTTCTCATCCAGATCTACTTCAGTAATATCAGTGGGGCAAGACAGAGATGGGAAAAGACAAATCTTGTGTCCTTGACCAGGTGATCAGGAACACAGCCAGCAGGAACAGAAACAACCAGACCTCTGAGGTAATAGCCTGGCACTCACTGGGGAGGCCTGAAACAAAAAAAAAACGGCTGATCTGCTGGGAACAGCCAGAAAACCTTTTGTCAAAGAGTTGCTTTGATAGAGAGGCTGATTTTAGAACAGAGAGAAAAGCAGAGAATTTTCACCTCTCTGGCAAAACACAAAAATATGTGGGGTTTGGATACAGTTGTGTGGTGCCAAAGTGTAAAAGAAGCCCAAAATCCAACAGCCCAGGCTCTGTGTGAGCACTGGGCTGTTGTTGAGAGCTTTTGTCTCTGGAGAACCAGGGTAGATGAGGGCATCTGGAGCTCCAAATGGGCATGGATCATATTCAGGAATTTCCCTCTGGCTGACCAAAGCACCTCAGCAGAGCTCAGCCCTGAACACTCTGGAGAACACAGAATGTCCTCACTGTGCCAGCAGAGCCCAGAGCACCAATTAACCACAGAAAGCCCTCAAGAGCTGAGCTCTGCTTTAAGTGAAATGGAAATTTGTGGTGAGAGGATGGTGCCTGGAGAGAACAGGGAGCTGTGCTGGGCTCCCAGATCCTGTCAAAGGAACGATTCCCAGCCTGAGACTGCCATGAAATATAAACACACTGCCACTAGGAAAGCTGCTCTTTGCCAAGGTGTAGATAACAGGCAAAGAAATGGCCCTAAAAATCCCTTTCTTACCAACACTTTGGTATCTTCTGATGCACCTGGCTAGGAATGACTTAGTTTCGATCTTCCTCACATTCTTTGGCATCAAAGCAATAAATGCTGGCTCTCCTTTGGTTTGAATTACTGGAATATGGACTGGAATACGGAATCCCCATCCCTGGAAGTGTCCAAGGCCAGGATGGATGAGACTTGGAGCAACCTGGGGTAGTGGAAAGTGTCTCTGCCCAAGGGCAGGGGGTGGAATGAGGCGATCTTCCCTTCCAGCCCAAACCATTCTGTGATTCTCTGATCAATAAAAAAACCCCAGATTTCCCAGTACTACTTTTTTTCTTCAGAAACTGCAAACAAGCAGACTTGTTTCCAAAAAGCCAATGTTTAATACATTACCTACAGAAAGCTAAAGCAAAAGACACTTTATTTTATTGGCCAAATCAAGGAATTCTTTCAAAGACTCAACCCTCTAATGACTTGAAAGTAACACTTATACACCATTCCTTATCTTCCCTCCATTTAAAAATAATAAAAAAAATGTAATGGCATCATCCGTCAACTTTGCTATTCTCGGAGGATCCCAGGCATAATGGAGATAAATGGCTGAGGTCTCTTCGACTCTTCTCTGCCATCCAGTGAAATTTTAAAGGGCAGTTCATAGCTCTTATTTTTATCATAATTTTTCCCATGATTTATAGACTTTTCTGCAGCTGTCACTTATTTTCTTATACCTGCAGCAACCTGAGGTACGGATTGGTCATTTTCTTCTCCCCAATCAATCCTTGCTGAGTTAAGACTAATAAAACTCCTTCTTCCAGCTCATCATATCATTATTTAGTAAAAATCAATTGCACCATGTCACCCTGGCTTGATGTCATCACTCACTCTAATGATTACATCCATACAGCTTAAAAGTTGCCAGGGGAAAGTAAAACTCTTTATGGCACATGATTAAAGGAGAAAAATGTTAATAGGAAAGAATTTCGTTACAGTGCTGTGCATTGAGAGTTCTGGATGATTTTCAAGGTGCTGCTGTGCAGGAAGTATAAATTAAATAGAAAAGAGTTTGTTCAGGAGGTTTAAAAGAATTAATGAGCTTGTACATAATAAAGGAAAGTTTTACACTGTCAACAAGGTTTAGAAAGTTTTCAGTACACACAGTTTTCAGTGTCAA